CTGGCCATATTCAAACTTCAAAAATCAAAGATAAAATCTTGGAAGCAGGCAGAAAATAAAAGACTCACTATATATACAGGACAAAAGAAGAATGACATCAGACTTTTTATCAAAAACTATGCAACCCAGAAAACAATGCAGAGATATTTATGAAGTATGTCAACCTAGAATTCTATATTCAGTGAAAATATCCTCCAAAAATCAAACATGAAACCAAAAGCTGGTTCTTTGAAAATATTAATAATACTGATAAACCATTAACCTATTAAAAAAAGAGAGAGAAAGAGAGAAAAACAAATTACCAATATCAGTAATGCAACAGGAAAAGTCACTTCAGACCTTTGGACTCTGAAGATATAAGAAGGAAAAAGTACAAAAAATGTTATACCTATACATTTGACAACACTGATGAAATGGAAAAACTACTTGAAAGATACAAACTACAAAGCTACCACTCAAAAATAAACAGATAACCTGAATAGTCTTATAGGTATTAAAGAAATTCAAAGAAAGAAAACTCTACCTCCAGATGACTTTTTTACTGGTGAATTCTATTAAACAATTAAGTAGAAATAATACCAATTCTACACAAATCCTTCCAAAAAAATTGAAGAGGGAATACTTCCCAACTCATTCTATGAGGTCAGACTTACCCTAATAGTAAAACCAGACCAAAACATCATAAGAAAACTATAAACTAGTAATCCGTCATAAACACAGACACAAAAATCTTTAACAATATATTAGCTAATCAAATCTAGCAATATATAAAAAGGCAATATATCATGACCAAGTCATGTTTACCTGCTGAATGCAAGAATGGCTTAACATTTGAAAGTCAACCAATACAATTCACTACATTAACAGTCTAAAGAAGAAATGCCATGTGATTATCTCAATTGATGCAGAAAAGGCATTTGACAGAATCCAACTACCATTCATGATAAAAATTCTCAGCAAACTAGAACAGAACTTACTTAAACCAATGAAGTATCTATAAAAAAACTATATTAAATTACACTTAATAGTAAAAGACATTGTTTTCTTCCTAAAACCAGTAACAAGGCTGGGATGTCAAGTCACAGCATTCCTTTTTAACATCATACTAGAGGGCCTAGCCAGTACAGTAAGACCAAAAAAAAAAGGCAAAAGAAAAAAAATAAAAAGTACATAGCTAAGAATAGACAAAATAAAACTTTCTATTTACAAGTAATATAATTGTCTACTTAGAAAATCCCAAGTAAAAAAATGAATTTAGCAAGGTCACAGGACATAAGGTCAATATACAAAATTCAACTGTATATCTATGTACTATCATTCAACAACAGGAAACTGATTCTTTTTTAAAAGCTACCATTACAATGGTAGAACACTTAGGTATAAATCTAACAAAATATGTGCAAAATACATATGCTTAAAACTATTAAATGATGAAAGAAATCAAGAAACACCTAAATAAATGGAGAGTTATACCATGTTCATGTATCGGAAACTTCAATACGGTCAATATACTGTATCCTGCCAATAAATTCAATGCAATCTCAATCAAGATTCCAGGATATTTTGTTAAAGAAATAGACTAGTTGATTCTAAATATATGGAAAGATAAAGAATTTGAAATAGCCTGAATAATTCTGAAAAACAGCAACAACATTTGAGGGTTCACACTACCTTATTTCAAGATTTATTATAAAGCTACAGTAATCAAGACAAAAATGTATCAGCGAAAGCATAGAAACATAGGTTAATGGAACAGAAAAGAGTCCAAAAATAAAACCACACATACATAGCCAACTGATTTTCAACAAAAACAGTACAAAGGCAATTTCAATATGGTGCAAAGGCAATTCAGTGGAGAAAGGATAGTCTCTTCAACAAATGGCGCAGGAACAACTGGAAATCCATATTCAAAACATGGATATTGATCTATACATTGCACCATCTGCAAAATTCACTAAAAATGGATGGATCACAGACTAAAACAAAAACAACAACAACAACACAAACCCTACAAAACTCCTCAAAGAACACACAGGAAGAAATCTTTGTGACCTTGAGTTAAGAAAAGATTTCAAAAACAAACAAACAAAAAAAAGATTTCTTAGATATAACACCAAAATACAATCTATTAAAATTTTTTTTGATATACTTGATTTCATAACAATTAAAACCTTTTGCTCTTCATGGAAAATGAAAACACAAGCCACAGAAAAGTAGTAAATACTTGGAAACATAACTGATAAAAGACACATTCAAAATACAAAAACAAGTCTCAAAACTTAATAAGAAAATAAGCAACCCAAGGAATATATATCCTCTCTGTTGTTCTTAAATTCATATTCTAATATGACTTATTCCCTTTTAATCATATTGTATTTACATAAAAAATATGAAAACTCAATTTAAATAATTAATTGATTTTTTATGCAAAGTAAACTTCCTTTAAAATATATAACTCTAAAAAGCAAGGTCAGTATTAGTTCATTATGAACTATAACAGTAAAATGAACACTTTATTTAAATAAATAATACAACCTCACAAACGGATCAGTCATCCCTCCCCTCCATCCCTCTTAAATAAAAATGCCACAGGCTTCATCTGTTACTAATTATATTAAGTAATATTTTTCTTTCAAAACAGCAACAGTACACACTGGTGGTTATGGCAAACTTAATAAAGTAACTTGGAGAGTTTTTTTTTTTTAATTTGTATTTCCATTGCAGAGAATGGAATGTAAAACATGTAGCCCAATCAGATAGTTAAACACTAGACACAGCCTTCTAATCATGTTTCTGGCTGACAAAAGCCCAATCCCCAAAGCTAAATTTAGTCATTGTCTCAACATGCAAAACCCTCTTAATTTTATGTCTCTAAAATGGAATTTATAGTTAATTAGTACTTTTATTAAAAGTTCTCTACAAAGTGACAGTTTATCAAACTGACAAGCAAATTTATTTCAGCCTTTAAGTAATTATTTTTCAGTGTTTCTGAAAGCCAACATTTAAAAATTGCTTATATTTAGTCTTGCTAAAAATCTTTTTTTAAATAAACAATATAAAATAAAAACAAAAATAAATTTTTCCTTGGAGGCAGAGAAAAGGAGTAGGAAGCCGAATCCTGGAGATATTTCCTTGAGCAAATTACTTAACCTCTCTAATCCTCCGTTACTTCATCTGTAAAATTAGGAGTTAATCTACAAAATGTAAACATAGAGATAAGGTCCAGCTGAGCTCTAAAAATCCTAATTCTATACAACACCCTTAAATAAAATGAATTCTTTTCCACAATAAAAGATGAAATTCATAACATCTACCCTAAAAACCCTGCCAATCAAATTATTCTTATGACCTTGGATGAATTACCTTTTCTGAACCTGTTTTTCCTCCCCAATAAAAACTGAGGTTTGATGAGACAATTTATATTCTATTTTCTGAATCTATGATTTTACCAGAAAATAATTTTTAATTATGTACCTGAGATCAGTTTTGACAGAATAAACACATAAGAAGAGTATTATCTAAATACAAATCTAAGCAATGCACAGTAGACACATGCTTATGGCAAATCAATTTGAATTTTGCAAACCTAATAAAGGTGAACTTATTCTAAACACAAAAATGGAAGAATATATTTCAACTTACAGCAAGGAGAAGCGACTACTTAGCCACACTCTAACTATACTCAGGAGTATATATATCACCATGTCGTATTATTCTTGAATATAAGATTGATAAAAACAAAAACATGTTTTTGATTAAGTAAATTCAATCTTAAAAGAGTATCAGACACAGTGATCATCAATAATCATCAAAACTAATGATGAAAATGACACATACTAAATATCTGTGGATAAAATAAAATTTCATGTATTCCAAGTATCAGAATTCAAGGCACTTATTAAATCTAATTAATCAGTCTCAGGTTTTCAAAGAGCATGCCATATTGTTCAATAAGCATAAGCTACTTCCTAGCTCATTAGATTTTAAAAGAAGGAAAAAGAACAGGTAGAACTACTATATATTTAGACTATCTGAAGGAGAATCCACTTATACCAATAATACACAGTCACATAATGACTTGTATTAACATGCAGTTCTAAAATAGTTTCCAATGGAGTTAAAGCCAATGATCCAATAATTCCATTTTGAGAAATCTATCCTAAGAAAATAAACAGAAATACAGACAAAGATGCATGTACAAATGTGTCCATTGAAGTCTTATTTATAATAGCTAAAATTATGAACAACTTAAGTATCTGAAGGCAAGGTATGGTTAATGTATGATCTATTTAATATAACACTGTGCTTACAAAGACTTTTTAATGACATGGAAAAAAGCAGATATTTTTTATTCCATCTCTCTATATTTCTATATTATACACATTTTTCAGCTGGAGAAATAATATATGATCAATTTGTACTACTTCTCAAAGACAACTGCATCAACACAATGTAAGATGGCAAATAGGAACCTACTGTAATGATTCAAACAAGAAATGAAGAGTGTATAAATAAAGGGGGCATGAACTAACACAATGGCACTGGGAACAGAAAGAACAGATAGCTTCAAGAGATACTTAAGCAGAATCAACAGGTTGCAGCTACCAATTGGAATAATAAATGAGAAACAGATTGGGCTAAACTGTAATTCCACACACTAATACCAGAAATGCAGGAGAAAAGTACCTTAGGGGAAAATAATAAGGCCAGATGACTCTGAAACACAATCTAAAGTTAAAATTACTTTCTATATATTATGTTTAATATGGAAAGATTCATTCTGTACAATATATTAGGAAAATATTTTTATCCAGAAAACTTTAATTATCTGGATAATTAACTAATATGAAATATATTTCTTAATGAAGCCACTTAAGTGAGTTACTGCCATTGTAAAATTTTCATTAAGAATTATCTCAGTAAGGGAATAATGTGTTTACTTTTTACCAAAATATTCTAACTCAAAAATGGTGAACATGGGCTGTTTCAATGTAAGTTACCATATCATTTTTATTCTCCATAAAAATGCTGAGTTTCTTCAAAAATGACACAACTAGAATAAGCAGCTCAAAATTGTCCCGATCAAGAGCCTTCACCAGCATGTGAACTATGTTCTTGTTCCTCATCTTCAGCTCTGTACGTGTATCCTCCGCAAGATTCAGAAGCAAATAAAGAGCAACTAGGAAAGTAAAATAAATGAGAGTTAAATAACTGGCATATTGAATCAACAATTTAATAAATCATTTCTACCCATTAAAGTAACAGATGTAGAAGATAGTATATTATCTTGAAAATTTTAACTAGCTAATTTATTCATTAGAAAACTATTATTATTGATATATATGCTATATGAAACAAACCTTATATATAAAATAATATTCTTATGATGCTGAGAAAGAGGCAATAACCAAAATAAGTCAATGATTCCTATGTTCTTGGAGCTAAGAGCTTAATTGTAATCAAATGTCAATTAAACGTATATGTTAGCAAATAATAAAACAGGCAAGCATGTAGAAAACAAGGTAAAATTTCAACAATTAGGGGCTGCTGTGCTAAAAAATGTAGAGTACAGCTAGAGCTGAATTTAAGGATACTAAAACCTATTTTTCATATTCAAAATGAGTTTTTGATAGTCTACAGAAAATGGCCATATGAAATTCAGTAAAATAACTGTTACACTAACCAAAGTTGAGGCCACTGTCTACTAGTTCTAAGTAAAATTTCTTTTAGATACCGGTAATAAAAATGCTTACATTCTCATAAGAAACTCATTTAATTGTTCCCTTTTGACAATGAGATTATGTAACAGATAATGTTTTCCATTTGGCCTTGACTGACAAAAAGCTTCAGAGTTAAACCTGAAAGTTTTCTGTCAGAATTATATACAATATTATGGCCAACATAGTCTTTTTGCTCTCCTATTGTCTTGATTTTGCTCTTTTTTTTAGTATTTCATTTATGTACTCTTATAAACCATCTCTAAACCTTTATGAAAAATACATATGCATACATATAAACTTTTATTTAACAAATATTTGAAATGGAAAAGCAATTCTCACTAATTAAGTACCTACTATATGTCAGGCACTGTACTAGTTGATATATAAACAGTAACCCATTTTAAGACAATTTTACGAGGCAAGAAATACTATAAAAATTTTTACAGATGGGGAACCCCAGATTCAGAGAAGTTAAATACCTTGCCCTAGCCACACAGCAAGAAAACCCACCAGAAACCAAAGCTCACACATTTACACTACTGCACCATGCTGACTTTCCATGCAAGGCACTAATAAAAGGTTTTAAAGTTGTGTTGGAAAAGCATATAGTAGACTTCTTCTTGCAACCAAGATAGATGTAGTGGGTTGAATAGTGTTCTCCTCAAATTTCCATCCACCCAGAACCTGGGAATTCGAAGTAATTTGGAAACAGGGTCTTTGCAGGTGTAACTAGTTAGGATGAGGTCATAACAGATTAAGGTAGTCCTTCCTTGAAACCAATGACTGGGGTCCTCATAAGAAGAGAGGACATAACTGAGAGATACCGTGGGAAGAAGGCCATGTGAAGATGTGGGCAGAGAATGAATAGATGCAGCCACAGCCAAGAAACACCAAGGACTCCAGAAGCCACCAAATGCTAGGAAGAGCCAAGGAAAGATTCTTCTCTAGAGTCTTCAGGGGCAGCATGGCCCTGCTGAAATCTTGATTTTGGCTTTCTAGCCTCCAGAACTGTGAAATTTCTATTGTTTTAAATCACCCAGTTTGCAGTACTTTGTTTTGGCAACTCTGGGAAATTAATACATAAGAGGAGCAGGGACCAGATTGGAAACCCTCACCAGAAACAATAACAACAACAACAACAACAACAAAAAGACTAAAATAAGGGTTTTCAGGACACTGAGCACCAGATGATGACAGATAGTTATCCCTGAGAGATAAGAAACAAATGACCTGGCCCATGATTGCCCCAGAATACTGTCTTGAGAGATTCCAGGTCATGAAACAGATAAGGAAAAATCCCAGAAGAACTCCAAAGAATTCTTGAATGAAGAGATGGAACCAAGGGACCAGGGAAGCCAAGGTGGCTAGAGTTCACAGAAAAGAATACCAGAGAGGACAGAGCTTCAAAAACAGAAGAGTTCCAGAGTTCTGCAGAGGTCTACTTTACATATTGAGCAGAGTACTGACTAGTCACATGTGTTACAAATCTGAGGCTGGGGGCAGAAAAAAATGAAAGAATTAGAAGAAAAAATACATGACATGCACACAGAGCTGGAAATAATGCCTCTTTCTACCAGCTATACTGGAAACTTCATAATTAATGGGCCACTGGGTAGAGTTCTCACATGGGCCTTGGCTCAGTAGTATGGAATAATTAGTTTTAGACTAAATGCTGCTCATGTCCATACTCACAAATCTTATGAGAATGATCCAAAAGGATCAAACTGCTTCCAAGTAATTTAATTGTGTCTCACAATAAAGCTCAGGAATAGAATATTTATAGGAATAAAATAATATCCATCACCTAACAATGAAAATTTCACATTGTCCTGCTTCCAATCAAAGATTATTAGCCATTCAGAAAAAGCAGGAAAACACAACCTGTAAGGAAAAGAAAAATCAGCTAACTGAACCTGTTCTAGAACTGACACCACAGTTAGAATGATTGAACATGAACATCAAAATAGTTATATAACTGTATTCTAAATTTTCTAAAAGTTTAGTAGAGACATGGAGGATATACAAAAGATTAAATCAAACATCTAGCAATGAAAACTACAATGCCTGAGATTGTATACTAAATGGAATTAACGGCAGTTTAGAGACTGGAGAAGAAAAGATTAGTGAAATTGAAGACATAACTAGAAACTATCCAAAATTAAACACACAAAGGAAAAAAAAACAGCAAAAATGTAAAGAGTATCAGTAAACTATGGAAAAAACGTCAAGTGACCTAATATACCTGTAATTGGAGTCCCTGAAGAAATAATAATTGATAACTTTCCAAATTTGATAAAAATAAGGTCAGTGAAATCCAAGGTCAGTGAAATCCAAGAAAAAGAAACAAGAAGAAAGCTAAACCAAAGCACAATATAATCAAACTGGTAAAAACAAATGATGACGAGACCATTTTAAAGCAGCCAGAGGGAAAAAACCTCATATATAGATGAAGAAAAGATAAGGATGACAGCAGACTTCTCATCAGAAACAATGCAAGCATGTCAACAGTGTAATAGTATGTTTAGCAAATAGAAATAAGTTGTCAACCTAGAATTATAAACCAGTAAAAATATTTCAAAAAAGAATTTCAGATGTAAAAAGATAAAATAATTCATTAGTAAATCTATCCTGTGAGAAATATACAAGGAAATCTTTCAGACAGAAAGAAACTGATGACAGAAACATAATCTAACAAAAAATAGTAGAATCAGTGGAAATAGTAACTATATAAGCAAATATATAAGGTTATTTTCTTAATATTTAAATATCTTTAAAGTAAAATTGACTGTCTATACAAAAATAATAATGTATCATAGGGTTTATAACAGATATATATATATATATATATATATATATATATATAAAAACCTCATGGTAACCACAAACCGAAAATCTATAATAGATACACATAGAAAAAAGACAAAGGAATCCAAACGTAACACTAAAGGTAGACATCAAATCACAAGGGAAGAGAGCAAAAGAAGGGACCATGAAAGGACTGTTAAAAAAAAAAAAACCAAAACAATGAACAAAATGGCAAAAAGTACATACCTATCAATATACTTTAAGTGTAAATGGACTAAAAGCTCCAATCAAGGCATAGAGTGGCTGACTGGATACAAAAACAAGACCCATGCATATGGTGCCGATAAGAGAATCACTTCAGATCTAAAGCCACAAACCGACTGAAAATGAGAGGATGTTAAAAGGTATTCCATGCAAATGGAAACAAAAAGAAAAATGGGATAGCAATACTTGTATCAGACAAATAGACTTTAAACCAAAGACTGTAACTAGAGAAAAAGAAGGACATTACATAATGATAAAGGGATCACTCCAACAAGAAAATACAACAATTTTAAATATATATGTACGTGGAAACACAAAGACCCCAAATAGCCAAAACAATATCTCCAGCTTTGTTCTTTACAAAGAACAGAGCTGGAGATACCATGCTCTCTGATTTCAAACTATACTACAAAGCCACAGTAATCAAAATAGTATGGTATGGCACAAAAACAGACACATAGATCAATGGAACAGAATAGAGAGTGCAGGAATAAACTCACATTTACATGGTCAATCTACAACAATGGAGGCAAGAATATACAATGGCTAAAAGACAGCTTCTTCAATAAATAGTGTTGGGAAAATTAGACAGCTACATGCAAAAGAATGAAACTGGACTACTTTTTCACATCATATACAAAAATAAACTGAAAATGGATTAAAGCCTTAAATGTAAGACCTGAAGCCATAAAACTCCTAGAAGAAAACATAGGCAGTATGCTCTCTGACATCAAGCTTAGCAATAATTCTTTGGATATGTCTCCTCAGGCAAGGGAAACAAAAGTAAATCAAACAAATTGGACTACATCAAACTAAAAAGCTTTTACACAGCAAAGGAAGCTAGCTATCAACAAAATGAAAAAGCAGCCTACAGAATGAGAGAAGATATTTGCATATAATATGTCCAATAAGGGGTTAATATCCAAAATACACAAAGAACTCACACAACTCAACATCGAAAAATCAAACAACTCAATTAAAAACTGGGCAGAGGATCTGAATAGAAATTTTTCCAAAGAAGATGTACAGATGGCCAACAGACACATGAAAATGCTCAACATCACTAATCATCAAATGCAAATCAATACTACTGAGATACCACCTCACACCTGTCAGAATGGCTATTATCAAAAAGACAAGAGATAGGGCTTCCCTGGTGGCACAGTGGTTGAGAATCTGCCTGCTAATGCAGGGAACACGGGTTCGAGCCCTGGTCTGGGAGGATCCCACATGCCGCGGAGCAACTAGGCCCGTGAGCCACAACTACTGAGCCTGCGTGTCTGGAGCCTGTGCTCCGCAACAAGAAAGGCTGCGATAGTGAGAGGCCCGTGCACCGCGATGAAGAGTGGCCCCCGCTTGCCACAACTAGAGAAAGCCCTCACACAGAAATGAAAACCCAGCACAGCAAAAATAAATAAATTAATAAACTCCTACCCCCAACATCTTCGTTAAAAAAAAAAAAAGACAAGAGATAAATGCTGGCAAAATGTGGAGAAAAGGCAACCCTTGGTGTACTGTTGACAGGAATATAAACTGGTGCAGCCACTCTGGAAAACAGTATGGTGGTTCCTCAAAAAGTTAAAAACAGAACTACCATATGACCCAGGAATCCTACTTCTGGGTATATATACAAAGGAAATAAAACCACGATCTCAAAGAGATATCTGCACTCCCATGTTCACTCCAGCATTATTCATAATAGTTAAGATGTGGAAGCAACCTAAGTGTCTATACATAGATGAATGGATAAAGTAGATGTGATATATATTTTATATAAAATATTATATAAAATATATAACATATATTACTTATACATTATATATAATATAAAATAGAATATTACTTGTTTATTAAAAAGGACGATATTCTGACATTTGCCACAATAAAGATGGATCTTGAGGGCATTATGCTAAATGAAATAAGTCAGACGGAGGAAGACAAATGCTATATGTTCTCACTTATATGCTTATATGTGGAATCTAAAAACGCTGAGCTCACAGAAACAAGGAGTAGATTGATGGCTACCAGACACTGGGTTGTGGGGGAAATGGGGAGACAGTGGTCAAAGAGTACAAACTTTCAGTTATAAGATGAGTAATTTCCAGGATCTAATATACAGCGTGGTGACTACAGGTAAAAATACCGTACTGTATACTTGAATGGTGCTATGACAGATCTTAAGTGTTCTCACCATAACAACAACAACAACAAAATGGTAATTATGTGAGGAGAAGGATTTGTTAAGTAATCTTATTGTGGTAAACATTCTGGAACATATACTTGTATCAAACCATTACACTGTATACCTTAAACTTACACAGTGCTATATATCAATTATATCTCAATAAAGCTGGGGGAAAAAATCAATAGTCAGCTACAAAGCAGGAATTGAATACACCCTTAAAAGTCCCACATCATTCTTACTAACGACATAAGATTTTGCATCTTATCAATGACTGAGAAACCATACTATTTAACTGTTAAATCTCTCAACAAACCCCAGAAAGAGGAGACTATTTTTTATTAAAGAGAAATATTTTGAAAAGTTTTTCATCAATTTCCTAGGAAAGCAACAAAATTGTCACCATATAAGATACATATAGCAGGGTTTGAGAGACAAGATTCTTATTATTGAAAAGGTCATACATTGGATTTAAAAATCCTTTCTGATTAATACAAATTCAAGAATGTAATTTATACATTTAAGAGCTGAATGGGGCTTTTTGGTAGAAAGACAGTAGAGTGAAATTTAAAACATCATTATCAATGTTAAAGACAGAAGATTCTGTAGTACATTAAAATTCACAGAACTTTCAATTAGTCTGGTATTTGCTTTATTTATCTGACAAAAATAGAACAAGCTGAATGTATAGTAAGAACTTTGTTGCATTCTCATTGCTTAGGTATTCATACCTCGTAAGAGCTGTTCCTGTTTTACCACAAGCCCCTGGTATTTTTTAAAGGTTTTTTCATAATCTTTTCTCAAGGTTTGGTTTTCAGGGTCTTCATCAAGTAAACAAGTTAAGGATCATCCATATTCATTGAAGCAAAGAAAACCTAATGAAAAATACTATGAAGAACAGTGCTAATAAATTTTATGTGCAATTTTATCCAGTTATTTTCTGTAACCAATAGTTTAATTAAAATAGTATTCCCTGCACAATTGCGTTATAACAGATCTTCTTAACCAAGTGCTCGAGGATGTGCTTGCAGACCTTGGGTGAACACATGTTTAGGCTTCACCAAGTACTTGAATCCTCAGAAATTGTATGTAAATATTTTATGTATGTGCACAAGTCTCTAACTTTCACCAGATTAAAAAATAGGTCCATGAATCAAAAAGGTTACAGCCTTAAAGAATGATTTAGTTAATAAGAATAGTGAATTCCACTTTGGACAGATGTCTACTATATTGAAAGGACGTTGATTATAACTAAAGCTTTTTAGCACCCTCTTCAGACTACATACAAAAAGAGAAATATCCCAAAGTTAGAGAAAAACAAAATTTAAAAATTATATCTTATAGCCCCAAATAGTCCCTTGGACACCTGCAGAAATAACCAATTACTTCAGTATGACTTCAGGATTCCCAAGCACTCAAAAACATCCCCCTTGTTGAATGCTACTTGCATCACAACACAAGGAAACTTAAGACTTAATAAAATAGTAATATTTTAGGAGAAATGGCCAAAATTCTGATAGGTCATTTTTATATTCCTTCAATTATTGTAATCCATTGATTCTGAGACACATTTTTTGCACATCTTAACATCTCCAGAATTTGAATATATCTTAAAATCCATGATATGTCATAGTTTTAATTGGAAGCATCTTTCTCCTTTTGTAGTGGTTCATAAATAATGGTGTATCTTACATTCAATGATGTCTAATATTTATAGGAATATGATATGTCCTAAAAGATCAGTTCTTGTCACCAAGCAATCACAAAGTATAAATTAATGATTGCTAAAAGTCCCATTAGTGGTTCTCTCTGTATCCCGCTCCCGCCTTAGTTTCAATGAATTTTAGATATATTCAGGAAACTTGGGACTCAAGAAATGACCTGAAGTCTCCAGGATTATTGAGTTGTCCACGTGGTTTAAGTCAACACCAATCTAGATGTTGGAAGCTTACAGCACACACAGAAAATGTCTAAACCTATAAAGATCCTAATTAAGAAAAGTCAAATCTGTGTGTGTGTGTGAGGGTGTGCTTTTATAGTGCCTTGGGTATTCCACGAAGGGGAGGTAGAAAACATGAGATATTGGGCACAACAGAAATAATATTTTTACTTTTTAAAAGAGATCAATAAATATTGGGTTCAAAAGAAAGTTACCAGTATGACTTGCCATCTGCAAAACATGTCATATTAGACAGATATGAATAAGCCAGGACCTTCAATTAGAATTAAAGTTGTAGAAGAAATATGATAAATATCTTCATATATAAGAAATGTGATATTGAAGAAAATATCCTTATTCTATATTGCTTCAGTATGCAAGATTAGAATCAAGGGATAGAAGTTATTGGGAAGTAGACTTTAGTACACTAAGCAAAAAAACATTATAATAAATAGAATGTCAAAACACAGAATGAGCTAAATCAATAAGCAGTGACATGATAAAAGAAGAGACTAAATAATCGATTTGTAAGGGAAGTTGCAGAAAAGATTCTTGTATTGAAAGGTTAAAATTGATTCTTTTTAAGGTTCCTTTCACAGGTTCTATGCTTCTGCAGGCATCTCGAATTTGTATGTAAGTCCAAAAATACTTTTTTAATAATTAGAAAAATAGAATTTAAAACTGTGTTCTTCACCAAATTCACACTCATTCCAATCAAAGTCACCTTATTACACAGAGAAAACCATGTAAGAAACAGTGGTGAGCCAGACTTCAGCTAACTAAAGGATCTTGAGGGACAAAATAGCACAGTCACTTAGAGACTCACCAATTCAGTTATCCAGGACCACTATTATCTATTCCCTCTAGCTTATCACCTAATCAAAGCTGTAAAAAGATTAAAAAGTATATGTAAAACTATATTCATTCTGATAATTTCAATCTTCATCTTAACCTTCAGCGCACACTCTTGCATTTTTTCAAGTAATGTGAATGACAAACGAAACAAAATCCTCTCCATCCAAAGCTCACAGCAATAGGCAACAGTGGGGTGAAATGCCGCTTCAAAGGATATCAGTTTTCTTCTTCTTAGAAAGTTCTTCTTGCCAAAGCTCATGTCTTTTTAATTCATGATCAATGATATTCATACACAGAGCTCCAATTTTATAGTGAGTGATAAGTCCATGAAACTGAGAAAAGCTTTAAAGAAGAGTTTTTAGTATGTATTTAAAGGAATACATTTTGTGACTTCAGGAAATCTGTTTTGGATAAACACAGGTACAAACAATGTAAAATAGACTTGATATACATATTTCAATAAATGAATATGCCCACAGTATACTAGGAAGACTTGAAATTGTGAGATTACTTTAAATATATTTTAACACACAAAACTTACCTGAAACATAATTATTTTTAAGTTAGAAATTACACAAAACACATTTTTGTAATTAACTACCATTTTAACTATTCAGATACCCTCAAAATAAAATTTCAGACTACCACCTAACAAAACTAATAATATAACAGTACTATTATTGAAAAAACTGATACCAGGAAATAAACTAGTGAAGTATTAGCCATCAGGTTTTATATATGTTTCCTAGACAATTTATTCGTCCAAGTATTTATTCAGTAAATATTTATTTGCTAATGCTGGCACATTTTTAGAACAGAGGCAAGAAATTCCCTAGAATTTCTGAGAAGTGAGAAACTTTTCACAATGTCTCAATAAGTATCCTTCTAAAGAATATATGTGTATAAATAAAATACATGAATACATAACAGGTATGTGTTTGCAAACATATATTGTGTATACACACACACACACACACACACACACAGAGTTAACCCTTGAACAATGCAAGGGATAGGGATGCCAACCCTCTGTATCACCAAAAATGTAAGTATAACTTATAGTGGGTCCTCCATATCTGCAGTTCTGCATCCACAGTTTCAACTGGGGGACCGTGTAGTATGGTAGTACATACTTAGTGGAAAAAAGGATCAACTGTATATAAAACAGTAACATTTACTGGCACTTACTCTGGGTCAGGCTTTTTTCTTATATCTTCCTGAAGAGGATGCTCCTATTACTATCCAATTACAGATGAGGAAACTGAGCACAGAAAGGTTAAGTAATGTAACCAAGATCACATGGCTAATACACAGCAGGACTTGGATTCAAAGCCAGAGAGTCTATTTCCAGAGCCCATAACTCTTAAACTCTAAACTATTATATCATCCTACTGTACATGTATATGCATTGGTTAGTGTAGACTAAAAGAAAGACAGAACAACAAAGAGGACAGAGAATCGGAAATAGAAGTTTAGAGGCAGAGCATAGTTAGATACATAAGAAGACTGAGAAAACTAGTGATCTACTATCTAAACCAATGACACAGACAGAGAGAAACAGATATAGATCAGTACTTTTATTTCCTAATTTTTACACTTACCTGGAAAAGCAAAAAAAGATGTATATTATGTTTGTAGCTAACTCAACACTTTGCTTCCAGTCTTCTCTGAGGACTCTTGCTAATGCACCAAGGGCAGTTTCTAAAGAAAAAGGGGATGTACAAAAATGATCACTCACCTTGCCTCTGATATAAAGGGTAATTGGTTTTAAATGTCTACTATCAATAAATAACAGAGTCATGTACCAAAATGTTCAGTGCAGCTCTATTTACAATAGCCCAGAGATGGAAACAACCTAAGTGTCCATCATCGGATGAATGGATAAAGAAGATGTGGCACATATATACAATGGAATATTACTCAGCCAGAAAAAGAAACGAAACTGGGCTACTTGTAATGAGGTGGATAGACCTAGAGTCTGTCATACAGAGTGAAGTAAGTCAGAAAGAGAAAGACAAATACCATATGCTAACACATATATATGGAATTTAAGGAAAAAAAATGTCATGAAGAACCTAGGGGTAAGACAGGAATAAAGACACAGACCTACCAGAGAATGGACTTGAGGATATGGGGAGGGGGAAGAGTAAGCTGTGACAAAGCGAGAGAGAGGCATGGACATATATACACTACCAAACGTAAGGTAGATAGCTAGTGGGAAGCAGCCGCATAGCACAGGGAGATCAGCTTGCTGCTTTGTGGCCGCCTGGAGGGGTGGGATGGGTAGGGTGGGAGGGAGGCAGACACAAGAGGGAAGAGATATGGGAACATATGTATATGTATAACTGATTCACTTTGTTATAAAGCAGAAACTAACACACCATTGTAAAGCAATTATACTCCAATAAAGATGTTAAAAATAAATAAATAAATAAATAAATAAATAACAAAGCTAAGATAGAACTGGGACAAAAAGTAGGATGCCTCTTTCCAACACAGAAAGCTATTTTTAAAACTGAAATACTAAAACTCACAACATGCAGCTTTAAGTCTAACTGTAAATAGAAAAATAAAATATGATTTAAATAAAGTAACATAGTAAGTATACTATGGGTGACAATAAAATAATAAAAACACATTTATTTCTTAATTTTCATTTCCACTTGCTACTGCAGTGCCAGTTTTTTTTTTTAACATCTGATTTAATGTGTTCATGAATAAGTGAAAAACTAGATTAAGTCTAAAAAAATGAGCAGTTTAAAGCAGGCTAACACTGACTTCACTAAAGCAAATTAATAATCAAATAAAGCTTATACACAGAAAAATAAGTCTAATGTTTTAATGTCATGTTAAATTGATGCCAACGGACATAAATAGAGCAAAAAATTTTTAATGAAATTAGCTTTAGGGTAGATTGATAAACATCCCTGTTACACCTTCTTCCTGAAAAAGGTAATGAATTGATTAATGAGAATTACTATACATTAAGTAAACATAAAGTAATGAGACTAGTGTCAAATTAGTACTGTTACATGGCTGACTAAATCTTGAAATCATTAAAAATTAAAATATCTGTGTATTATATAGTGATCATAATTCAACTTCCTATAATAGGCACTGAGGATCTATTGTACTTCGTGGACTGCATTATAAGTATTTATTATGGTAATGAAAGTATTTCATTTATTTGAGCTTTCTGGCCATTCAGATTATGAAACAACAAGAATTCACTATATTACTAATCCACTTAGTGAGGAATTTTTTATACAAACTTAAAAACACCCTATAATAGCATTTCACAGTATTATTCATATTCATAATACAGAGCACTGGTATAATATAGGTTTTGAACACAATTATTCTGAAGTCAAATCAATAGATAATATGCAAAAGCTCTAAAAAAGTCCTACTTAATAAAGAATCTGGTTTAGCTTTGCTTAATCCAGTATTTCCAAAGGCATTCATCCTTATAATCCAGAGGATACAGCATTTCTTAGAATATACTTTGGAAAATGATGTACTATAATGTCACAAATTCAGCATTTTTCTTCTTTACTAAAGAACAGAAAAATGTCTCAATAAAAATACAGCTATAGGAATTATACACAGCAGGTTATGAAGAAATAAACCAAAAGAAAATTACAAAGTTTACAACAGATCAAAATATAACCCAAAATTAATTTATAATTTGAGTGCAATCATAATTAAAATTCTGTTAAGATTTTCTCAGAGAATATAATAAAGTGATCTTAAAACAATATATAAGAAAACATACAAAGACCAGCAACACCACATTAAAAAAAAGAAAACAACAAATTGGAACATTTCTCCTACATACTCTAAAACTCTAGTCAAAGTACAAAACAAAACATAACAACAACAGTATGATATTAGTATGGAAATTATCAAACAGATCAATGGAAAAGAAAAGAGAGCATCAAAACATATCTATGAATATATCAGAACAGTATCTGGCACAGAATAAGCTTTCAAGAAGTATCTATTGAATAAAAAACTGGCCAGCATATAGTAGAAAAGCCATTTCAAATCTCTGGGAAAAGGAGGAGTATTCAATAACTAAGCTGGGGAGAGACCTTCAAGATGGCAGAAGAGTAAGACGAGGAGATCACTTTCCTCCCCACAAATACATCAGAAATACATCTACATGTGGAACAACTCCTACAGAACACCAACTGAACGCTGGGAGAAGACCTCAGACCTCCCAAAAGGCAAGAAACTCCCCACGTGCCTGGGTAGGGCAAAAGAAAAAACAGAGACAAAAGAATAGGGACAGGACCTGCACCTCTGGGAGGGAGCTGTGAAGGAGGAAATGTTTCCACACACTAGGAAGCCCCTTCACTGGTGGAGATGGGGGGTGGCGGGGGGGAAGCTTCAGACCCATGGAGGAGAGCACAGCAACAGGGGTGCAGAGGGCAAAGCGGAGAGATTCCCGCACAGAGGATCGGTGCCAACCAGCACTCACCAGCCCAAGAGGCTTGTCTGCTCACCCGCTGGGGCGGGGGGGGCGCTGAGGCTCGGGCTTCGGTCGGATCCCAGGGGTTGGCTGCATGAACACAACCTGAAGGGGGCTAGTGCGCCACAGCTAGCCGGGAGGGAGTCCAGGAAAAAGTCTGGACCTGCCTAAGTGGCAGGAGACCACTGTTTCGGGGTGTGCGAGGAGAGGGGGTACAGAGCACTGCCTAAGCTGTCTCCAGAGACGGTGGCGCGAGCCACGGCTATCAGCACAGACACCAGAGACAGGCATAAAACGCTAAGGCTGCTGCTACAGCCACCAAGAAGCCCGTGTGCAAGCACAGGTCACTCGCCACACCTCCCCTCCAGGGAGCCTGTGCAGCCCTCCACTGCCAGGGTCCCATGATCCAGGGACAACTTCCCCAGGAGAATGCCTCAGGCTGGTGCAACGTGACAGGCTGGTGCAACGTCACGCCAGCCTGTGCAGCCCACAGGCTCAACCCGTATTCTGTACCCCTCCCTCCCCCCCCCCCCAGCCTGAGTGAGCCAGAGCCCCCTAATCAGCTGCTACTTTAACCCTGTCCTGTCTGAGCGAAGAACAGATGCCCTCAGGAGACCTACACGCAAATCCAAAGCTGAACCCCAGGAGCTGTGTGAACAGAAAGAACGGGAAATCTCTCCCAGCAACCTCAGGAGCAGCAGATTAAATCTCCACAATCAACTTGATGTACTGTGCATCTGTGGAGTACCTGAGTAACAACGAATCATCCCAAAATTGAGGCGGTGGACTTTGGGAGCAACGATATATATATATTTTTCCTCTTTCTCTTTTTGTGAGTGTGTACATGTATGCTTCTTTGTATGATTTTGTCTGTAGAGCTTTGCTTTTACCATTTGCCCTATGGTTCTGTCGGTCCATTTTGGTTTATTTTTTAGTATAGTTTTTAGTGCTTGTTATCATTGGTGGATTTGTTTTCTGGTTTGGCTACTCTCTTCTTTCTTTCCTTCCTTTTGTTTTTCTTTTTATTACTTTTTAATTCTTCTATTTTTAATAATTCTTTTTTATTTTAATAACGTTATTTTATTTTTGTCTTTCTTTCTTTCTTTCTTGTCCCTTTTCTTCTGAAAAGGGCCGTGTGGCTGACAGGGTCTCAGTGCTCCAGCCAGGTGTCAGGCCTGTGACACTGAGGTGGGAGAGCTGTGTTCAGGACACTGGACCACCAGAGAACTCCACGTAATATCAAATGGCAAAAGCTCTCCCAGAGATCTCCATCTCAACGCTAAGACCCAGCTCCACTCAATGACCAGCAAGCAACAGTGATGGACACCCTATGCCAAACAACTAGAAAGACAGGAACACAACCCCACCCATTAGCGGTGAGGCTGCCTAAAATCATAATAAGGTCACAGACACCCCAAAACACACCACCAGACACGGTCCTGCCCACCAGAAAGACAAGATCCAGTCTCATCCACCAGAACACAGGCACTAATCCCCTCCACCAGGAAGCCTACACAACCCACTAAGCCAACCTTAGCTACTCGGGGTGGACACCAAAAACAACAGGAACTACAAACCTGCAACCTGCGAAAAGGAGACCCCAAACACAGTAAGTTAAGCAAAATGAGAAGACAGAGAACCACACAGCAGATGAAGGAGCAAGATAAAAACCCACCAGGCCAAACAAATGAAGAGGAAATAGGCAGTCTACCTGAAAAAGAATTCAGAATAATGATAGTAAAGATGATCTAAAATCTTGGAAATAGAATGGAGAAAATACAAGAAATGTTTAACAAGGACCTAGAAGAACAAAAGAGCAAACAAACAGTGATGAACAACACAATACAGGAAATTAAAAATTCTCTAGAAGGAATCAGTACCAGAATAACTGAGGTAGAAGAATGGATAAGTGACCTGGAAGATAAGATAGTAGAAATAACTATTGCAGAGGAGAATAAAAAAAAGAATGAAAATAATTGAGGACAGTCTCAGAGACCTCTGGGACAACATTAAATGCACCAACATTCGAATTATAGGGGTCCGAGAAGAAGAAGAGAAAAAGAAAGGTTCTGAGAAAATATGTGAATAAATTAGAGTTGAAAACTTCCCTAATATGGGAAAGGAATTAGTTAATCAAGTCCAGGAAGCACAGAGAGTCCCATACAGGATAAATCCAAGGAGAAACACGCCAGGACACATATTAATCAAACTACCAAAAATGAAATAC